AATATTACATATATAATAAATTGAAATTCTATTAATTAACATATTTTATTATTTTTTATAATTTAGTTTGTATTAAGTAACATATTACATTATTAGTGATTTGTTTTAATTATAAAATGTCAAAATTACTAAATTTTTTAACATGTCATTTTTGGTAATTTTACGTTTTTCAACTAGATTTTGCCAAAAACCTAATTAGTTCATTAACTAGATTATCAGTCATCAACTAACTTATTAATTAATTTACCAAACTTAGCCTCTTAAACATTATATCTAGTTCAAATGCATAAAAAACAACGTTTACAAAGTTGTGGTTTATCTTCCAATTTTTAGGTTTGAACGAAAAACAAAGATACCAATTATGTTGGATTGATTTAACAATTTTTATGACATATATTTGAAAGTGAATCATTAATTCATTATTTAGAGTAGATATACTATTAAATAGACAAACTATTCTTGATATCATCTTATATAATTAGTTGTTGTGTAAAATGTGATAACCGGTTAATTGATTATTAAGTTCAGGGTTATTTTTAATTGATGATGGTAGTTGAGGGGTTAAATTTATAATTATGCTTAATTCTTTTAAAACCTCCATTGTCTCCTTATTTTAAACTATGATAGTATGAGAGTTTGTGTTATCTCATTGGGATGGTGCATGAGTAAAAGGAAAAAAAAACAAAAAGAAAGTTTTCTGTGTGTGTTCTTGAGACTGGAAGAAAACAGAAACCGAAAGGAGATTAGAAGAAGTTGATTATGTGATTATTATCTGGATAATTGTTGTTGTTCATTTTCGTATCTTCTTTTCATTTTGATTATGGGGTAAGTTTATTTTACAACTTTCATCTTATTTTGGATTATGGGGTAAGTTTATTTTACAACTTTCATCTTATTTTGTTGGATTAGAACCGTATGGTTCTGTGGAAGAGTTATAAGAAATTGTTTTGTGTTATGTTTAGCATAATTTGGTATTGTGATATGATTATATCAAATGATTGGAGTAAGGGTGGCATAATCCGAATAGATGTATTTTGTGATAAGGGTAGCATAATCAGGAGAGGTGTATTTTGGGATAAGAGTGACATAACCAAGAGAGGTGTATATCAGGATAAGGGTGCATAATCAACAAAATGTAAAAACTAGGTTTTTGATCAAGTTGTTAATTATTATTGCGTCCTTTTGATGCGATGACTTTGAGTTATCACATCTATGTGATGCGATGACTTGAGTTATCGCATCATATTGATGCGATGAATGACATTTATCTCATCTTTGTGATGTGAGGAGTATGTTTGTCGCATCCTTGTAATGCAACAAGATTGACTTATCGCATCCTTATGATGCGACAATTTGGTTTTATCGCACATATATGATGCGATGAGATGAGGTCCTCACACCAGCATGTTGCGAGAAAATGCGATAAATGAGTTGTTTGGTAATTTGATGCGGTAATTGGATAATGTCATCCTTTTTGATGCGACAAAAGAGGTTTTGTTTTATTCAATTGTTGTTTATGAGTTTATAAAAGTGTTTTGGTGATTATTCACCTTGTAATAGAAAACATAGGGATTTCTCGCTAGATCTCACGGTCTAACCCTCATTTATATTTCAAAATATGCGTTACAGGTCGGGCACAACCGGATGATAAAGGGAAGGGAAAATAGTGAAGAGTTTATATTTGCTTGCATGGAATTACGGGATGATGTATTATCTTTAGTATTTGAATACTTGTTATGTATATAAGTTTCGTACTAGGAATATGTGCAAAATTTGGTAGCTACTTCAATAATGTAGCTTTTGTATATTTTGGGACCGAATATGTAAAGTTGTATTTCATGATATATGAAATATGTGGCTATATGCAAATGTGATTTTGGGGTGTTAGAAGTTTGGTATCAAAGTCTCTGTTTAAAGAATTTAGGTATTTAGTATGATGCCTAGACTTAAACTGTATTATCTGCATATTAAGTGTCCATGACATACGTAGAACCTTTGAACTAAATATGATGGGTTAAAAGAACAATTAGTAAATTCAAATTACAATTGGCCAATATAATCATGGGTTTACAGGTACATATTTGTGCTTGGATATCTTATTATATTTGGGAATGTAATTATGTGGATATTAAATTGTGTAAACTTTCAGATGACAAGTC